CCTGTTGGGTATGTTTTCCTTCAAACTGGCTTGCCTCCGAGTTGAAAAGGTAAGCCACATTCCCTCGGCAGTTAAGCTGATGTGTGTGCATTTGAGACAGCTGTTCTACATGCCTAGATGACAGCTTTATGAATAGGAGTATGGCGGGGTTGCAGGTTTGGGGAAACCAAACAGGTCACGCGCATCAGGTGAATACATCCCCGTCCCGCTCTCCAGTGTGCATAACATTTTGCAAATGCAACTTTAAATGCGCTGCGTTTTAAGCCACTAATGTTTACATAGCCTGAGTGATACGCCGTAAGGCTTTCCATAGAACTGCAGGTGGATTGAAAAGCCTTGAGTGTTGCACTTTGCCTCTGTTATGGAATTTCTCACAAAGAGGAGGCATTTATTGCAACAGCCTCTGACTCCCTAAGGGGGAAAAAACCAGAGCAGGAATGATCTCATTTCTGTGCCCAGACTTGCATCTGCTGTACGGATGGAACCTGAACCGTCTCATTCAATAACTTAATCTGGTCCCGCTGCTCCAGAAGTTTGGCTGCAAATCAGTCCAATTCCCTGGAAAGCACCTCCTCCTGTGCTGAAGGGGTGGCTTTTTTTTTTTTTTGCTAAACTGGCACAGCAGGTGTTCTTCCACATCCTAAATCTGTCCCCTACTCTTAATCCTTATGTGTTGCAAATCAGGGTATCAGATTCCTCCTCTGCCCTCCTTGTCTCTGCTTTCTAGCTCTTCTGTGTGACGTCACTCAGTGGCACTTACACAACTGTCTAGGTTTGCATGCACGCACCCCTCTGTGGGCCTGCACCCCTCTTTTGAGACAAAGACAAAATGGGATGCCAACTAAACACGACCAATTTCAGCTGCGCAGCTAAATTAACAAAAGGTTTTTGTGTGATATATTATTTACAATCTGTCTGTTCTGTGCCTATCGCTCCTCAGTTTCATAGGGTAACCCCCCAAGTTATCTGCTTGTTGCTAAGGTTTATGATCCAGCTTTCAAACAAGTTGGTTCAGGGCACCTAAACAATATATTATTTCAAAGTGCAGTGAAATGACTAATGCGTAAACATAAGTTCAGTGCAGGATGTCTCTTAAAGCATCATGAAAATAATGCATGCAAAGAGAGAATAAAACAGATCGACAAAAGTTTTAAGAAGCCCTCACCTGGCACTGGGAAGACATCAGAGTGGGTGCCAGGTGAGCCTGTTCGGGGAGATTTTTCCAAATCCAGGGGCCACCACCAAAAAGACCCTTTCCCTGGTAACCACCAATTGGAGCTCAGATGGCACGGGTAATCAGAAAAGGGCTCTGGCGGTGATATCAGAGTACAGGCAAGCACATGCGGAGGCAGGTAATCCTTCAGATATTTTGGCCCCAAACCAGGAAGATCACTTTGATGAGGACCCAGTCCTACGAAGTTGTTTTGAGTGCTCTTTGTGAGCCAGGGGACAGGTCATAGCACAGTGGGGGGGACGACATCTCTTTGAAGGCAGAAGGTCATAAGTCCACGCCCTGAGCTCTCCAGGTAAGGCTTGGAAATGCTCCTGCCTAAAACCCTGCCGAGCTGCGGCCGGTCAGTGCACTGTAGACAATGCTGATGGATCAATGGTCTGACTCTGTATTAGGCAACTTCCTCTGTTCCTTCTCCATAGTCACACCCTGAACGCAGAACGCCCTCCTCCCAGAGTCTCGGATGGCTATAGCCCTTGTGAGCTCCTGTTGCCTGGTAAAACCTTTTCTCTCAGGCCTGGTGTTAGCTGGTACCAAGATTATATTCTTGCTCTTTTACTTGGCATGGTTTAACTTTGTTTTATTATACTGCATTCATATTTTTATTTATAAAATTATTTATATGCCACTGCTCATTTGAAAAAAATATCAGGGTGGTTTATAGCAAATTGTACAAGTTAAAATCAGAAATCAGCTAACTATTGTGGATAGATGTATTCTTATTTCCTGAATGAAGCTGCTCTGACCCACCTTGAGAATTTTTGCCTGGCTGGAAAATATCATTGAACTCTGATAATGCCTGCTCGCCTGGAAGCAAAACAGAGAGGGGGGTGTGGATGTGTGTAGAAACTATCCTTCTGCACAAATGTAAACTTCGCGTTCATTGCTCTGTCTGTTTTTCCTTCTGCCCCCTTCCCCAGCATGCAGCCCCCAGAAAGTTGCCCAAAAGGGAATGAGGCCCTCAGATTGAAAAAAAAAGGTTATCCACCAGAGCCTTGCAGTAGGGAGATTGCACAAAAAGGCTTCCCCCTCCCCCATGCCTTGGGGTCAAAGGCACCACTAGCAAACCCAACCACTGATAATTTATTTTCACCTGGAAAATAACCTCACAAGGTTGTTGTGAAGATGAAATGGGGAGGAACAGAACCGTGTACACCGTTTTGAGATACTTGGAAGTTAAAGGTGGCATATAAATGTAATAATAATAATAATAATAATAATTACACATTTCCCCTTTGCAAATGCCTTAACTTTTTGCCAGAAGTGGGGAAATGTTCCCGTGAGCAGTGCTGCAGTGCCATCTACAGGACAAAAGGTGTTAGAACATGGCGTTCTTTTCTCTTTCAAAGCACCTTCTACAACGGGGAAACAGACTAGGAGCCCCTAGATCAGGTGCCCTCTTAGTCTGCTCCACAGACAACTCTTCTAAGAGTTTCATCTCTTTGTGAGACCCAAATGTGTCGCTGCCAGGAGTACCGTCGGACTAGACAACCTTCCCCAAACTGGCACCCTCCAGATATTTTGGACTACAATTCCCAGGATACAGACTGGCTGGCTGGTGGGAATTACAGTGCAAAGAATTTGCAAGACATCAACTTAGTAAGGCTACTGCAAAAAATAAGCATGGGTTTACTCCAATTTTAAAACAGCTGCACTGGCTGCCAGTTCATTTGCAGGCCCAGTTTAAAGTGCTCACATTAAATGACCCAGGCCCCGAATACCGGAAAGACTCTCCCCTTCCCTACAGACCCTCTTGGGTGCTAAGATCAGCAGAAGGTGCCCTCTCAATTATTTAATTTCATTCATTCATTCCATTTTGATTCTCCAAGCAGTGCAAGGCGCTGCAGCTGGTCTTCCGCTCCTGTATTTTCCCCAACAACCCTGCCAAGTAGGCTAGCCTGAGCAGCAGTGATCAGCCCAAGGTCACCCAGCAAGCTTCCTAGCCAAGTGTGGATTTGAATCCTGACACTCTTAACTACTACACCACACTGGATTGTTTGGGTCTGGTGACCCCTAAGTTGTGGAAGTCCCTCCCGCCAGAGGTGGATCTGGCAGAGCTCCTAGAGGATGATGAAGATACAAGTAATTACTGCTTGAGGTGTATGTTCTTAGGAGCCACCCGATTCCTGTGTAAGTTGTTTTGAACTGATTTTAATACTGTTTTGAACTGTGCTTTGTTCTAACCTGCCCTGGGACCTTAGGGGGAAGGGTGAGTAATAAATCATAGCAATAGTATATGGGCATGGCTTAGAAGCTATGCCAGGATGTGGGGCAAGCAGCAGTGGAAGGCAAACCGGTGTCTTTCCGTTCCAAACATTTCACAATCCCTTTCCCCCCAGAGTGTAAAAAGCGAGAGCTGGGGCACATCTAGTTTCACCTTCCAGACCCAAGTCCTGCAAGTTGAACGTACGTTGCCTCAGGCCTCCCCACAGTCCTAAGGAGTCCCTTTTGACGTCTCCACGCCCTGTGATTTAGCCTGTCGGGTCTCAGATTCGGAGCAAGCCACAGAGGAGCAATACGGCTTGGCACATTGGGCCGCAACTACCCTAAATCCGCCAGAAGGGGCTCTGCGAGGCTGGAGATGGCTCTGGGCTGCTACACCGTCTGTTCGATAGCTGCGAAGGTTGTACGTGCAGTCTGTGCTGCTGGTGTGCGAGACACAGCCGGCTCAGGACAGGATCACAGCTCCTTTTATAGCAACAGCTGCTCCAGATGCCGATTCAAAGGAGGGAAATGTCACACTGCAAGCCGGAAAAGGGACCTTTCGTTTACATGTTGTGTTGACCCAAGTCCGATTCGAAAACCAAACACCGCCTTGGCATGTGGTTGCAAAAGAGAAATCAGTTTGCCGTTGACAAGGCAGAGGTAGGGAAGGCAGAGGGGCACGTCCTGTTCTTTGCACAACCAGCCGTTGTGCAAGACTGGGCCTGTCCTCCTCTGCCTGATCATGGCGCTGCCTTGAGAAGGTGGGTCTGCCAAACACTTCGCTTGCCAGGAGCATCATCTTAGCCTGCTTAGACACTCTCAGCCCACATACAGGCCCTAAAACATTTGGCTAGTAAACAGGGGGCCTTGCTCCCAGGGGCACATGAGTAACTCACTCACACGCCTTCCTCTGGAGGATGGAGAAATTGGAAAGCATCTTGGCTCTCAGTCCTGGGAGACCTGCCCCTGCCTTGCTCACCTCTTTATGCCTGTCTTGGGAGGACAGGGCCCTGACTGACCGGTTACAAAAACTGAGCCTGCTGAACAGACACTTGGGCCTTGCAAAATGCAGGGCTTGGAGGTTTGCAGGAGTGTAACAAAAACCCTTTTGCCAAGCTGCTTCTTTAACTGCTCCACACCTAATGTCATACATCAGGCTTGGTTATCTTAGCCTTGAACCAATGGGTATTTTCAAATGAAATAACTTTTTATCGCAATTCCCCCACTTTCAACCTGAGGTCTCTGTCCTGCTAATATATCCCCCAATAAGGTGGATACACAATGCAAAAACCTCTCTAAGCTGCTATGAGGTGGGGAATCTATGCAAGGATGAGCCCGACGATTGGCCTTTACATAATGGAGTTGGTATGGCTTGTACATGCAACTTTGTAATATGCAGTGAGGTTATGCCTTTACATACACGGACTCTACTCAGATAAAAATGGAACTGAATTGGCTTTGAAATGGCATTCTCAGGTTCACAGTGCCATTAGTACAGTTTGGGCTAGACAGGAAACTCCTAATCAAATAACTAACTGGTAGGGATTTCAAGCACACTCAAAATGTGGTCTGCACTTTTTATTTCTGGGCAGGCTACAGAACAGGCCGGTAATTAGCAGCTTCCTAGGAACCTGCATATCCACTAACGTAGCTTAATAAACCACTTCACAGGCAAGTCTTCCTTGTTCTTTATTGACAGTCAAGTCTTGCAGTTCTCATCAGCCATAACACCAAGATTACAACCCCCAACTCTAAATAATCTCATAGCACAACAGCACAAAACACAAATTTCAGAGATACACATAGCTTATATATTTGAGATTCAGTCCAATTTTTTCCCCAGTAACTATGTCTATGCTTTATTACCCACCCAAGATGCATGCAGCGCTATGGGAAGACCGCTACTACTTTGATGACCCGGCATTCACAGGCCTCATGAAACGGAGGAAAGAAAACCACGCATGGGAAATTACCAAGCTAGATTTTTTTCACTCTCACACACAAAAGGTTTGAAATGTAATTGACTTTATCTACACCAGCTTTAACCAACCTGCTTGTGCCCTCCAGCTGTTTTTAAACTACAATCCCCATGAGTCCCTGGAGCTGCAGGCACTACCAAGTTGGGTAAAGCTGGGGTAAACAGAATTACGACGTGGAAGAGATTTTACAAGAACACATGACTTTCCATCCTTGTGCCCAGCTCATCAAGCTTTCTCCAGCACAAAGCATGAAATCCCAGTGTGCGGAAGCTGCTCATTTAAGCAAAGAGCCTTAAAAGCAGCACTTATGAATAGTATGGAGAGCATCTTTATCAGCCTGAGTCTTTGGAGAGCCAGAATACACAACTTGTTTCTGCTGAGGAATATCTAAAGGGATGTTCCCACAGATGTATGAACCAGATTTTTGTACTAGAAGCCAAGTAAAAAAAGTGAAGTGCAACAATCACAGTAGATTCAGTTATTTCAGTGCAAGCAACTGATCAGAATCATCCACTCAAGCTCTTGAAGCATTCCCAACCGACACCCACATTTTAACACAAATTTCTTTATAGCCATAAGCAACTCTTATATACATTCATCCAGCCTTTTCTTGAAGTCTTAGAAGTAGATTTGAACAAAAGAGAAGAGAAAGAAGGGTCAGGCTTCACCAAGAGTCAGCAAAAGCCCACTGCTCAGTCGTCTCCAAGGTTCTCAGCAATATAAAACTAGTTGCGGCAGCCAATTACTACCCTGGCCTTGCCCACAGCGTGGCAAGAGCCACTAAAGTAGTTATTGCATCCAGCACAAAGTGAGACCAGACAAAGACAGACAGTTGCAGATGTTTGAATATACATGTTAGATACTAACGATCATGCTCTGCAGGTGTTATTGCATGGTGAGCATTTACAAAAAAATTATGGGAAACACTGTCCCCGATAATTAAGACACCCTTAGTGCAACATATGGAGGTCACTGCCTCCGATACAACACTGTGGTAGGCAAAAACTACCTTGTTCTTTAACATTATGGGAGACACTGCTCCCGATAATGTGACCCAAGTTCTCATGATACATCGCAGTGCTGGAAGTTCTGCACAAGAGCTGCTGTTGGAGTCAAGCACAGCTCAACACAAGCCTGCAATGGTTTGCATCAGCCTAAACACAACCAGGAGTCAGAGGACTGATAGAAATCCCAAATGATGGGGCTCCAGATCTACTGAAGGAAATCCCCATCACATACTGGTTGCACCCAGTCAAAGGAAGCTTTTCATTGAAAGGGTCAGGCAGAAGGTGCAGCTCACAGCTTTCGCTCTATCTTCTGAGAGTGAAAAGCAAGAGTAACACCTCCCGGGACTTCCCCTCACCTGCTTGGACTGCATGCTCCAAGAGATGAGACGATGTCCCTACCCTCCGGAATCCCAAATAATCTTCCGAAGGGATGGTGCTGTTGCAGAACACTGAAGGCTTGGTGGCAAAAATTCCAGTTATCATGGTTGGATTGTACTAGCAGATGCTGCTTTATCAAAAACGACAGTATAACTGTCATAATTATGGAAGTCACTGCTTCCGATAATTATATTCTGTAGAAAAAACAAATACCATTTATAGTGAACACTGCCACTGATAAATAAATAAATAAATACCTCGATACCAAGTCTGCAGAGTCAGTCTCTCAAACAAGTGCTGCAAGTTAAGACTAGGCCAAGAGACTTCTCGTTTACTGAAAAGGCCTCACAGCAAGGGCTTGAGTACAACCAGTCTCCTCGTAGGTTATTGTTTTAGTTTTTAAATAGTACCACAGGACCACTCAAGGTACTATAGCCTTCATTTCTTTGGCGTGGCCTTCCTTAGTACGGAAAGGAGCAAGTCACAGGAGAATTTCACCTGGGACTCTCTCAATTCCTATTGGGAAGGCGAAAGGTTTCATTTTAATTCCCTGCTAGACAGATCTTATGTCAAGGTGTGTTGGCTGTATCCCAGAGGCCAAGGGGTCTATGGAAGAGCTTCTGTACCCAGGGGAGATACTTCCTAATAGGATCAAAGACATGGGAGCTTTTAGGCTCACAAGTCACACGACAACTTTGCTCTGGAAGAGTCTGGGAGGTCAGGTTGAATTCATAAGAATCCAAGAGCCCTTACAATTCTTATGAGTTCAATGCTCTGGTTGCTTTGTGCGCCTCTCTTGGAAGAAATGCTTTACTCAGCCCAAGATCAGCCTTCTCAAATTTTGGGTTAGAGAGGCCAGCACATTTTAAAAGGTGAATCTACATACATCTATGTTCTCTGGGTCAGGACATTTTAACTTGTTTGGAATTGCTCAAGTTTCAGCCTGGACAACTAAAAATCCTCTGAAGGCCTAAGGGGACTTTGTTATGTGCTACTGGTTGAAAAGGAAGGGGTTCCCTGTTGCTGTACTTCAGAATTAATTGTAGCTTTCAGCTTTCTCAGAACTCATTGTCTGTGTTCCAGATGTCACCAGAAAGGGCATTAGCAGCACTCTGGATCGTCCAGGTTGCCAGAGCAAGCTGGTTCCTGAACAAATCTTCATTGAAGGCGCTCCTGTTTGTCTTCAAGAGACCCAAGTGGTCCAGCAACGCCTGGAGAGTATGGGAGCCAGAACCAAAGAAGATGTGCCGGAGAGGAGTGTCTTTTGGAGAGAGGTACGGGGAGAGGAAGTTGTACTCCACCTTAAGAGGAGAGAGAGAAACACAAGTGAAAAAGAGCTCTGGGATTAGGCAACCCTGACAAGTGCAAACACCCTCTGAATTGTTGGTGACTTGTGGAAACCAGGAGAATACGGAGCCCCAGCAGAGTCTTCAGACATTTCCTTCCTCCAGCAGAGCAGTTTTTTCCAGAGTCCCTGGGTAAGGGAAAAACTCCTCTCCCACACAGTTCAAAGTGTTTGTCTCTAGATGGGTGGCGCTGTGGTCTAAACCACAGAGCCTAGGGCTTGCTGATCAGAAGGTCGGCGGTTCGAATCCCCGTGACGGGGTGAGCTCCCATTGCTCGGTCCCTGCTCCTTCCCACCTAGCAGTTTGAAAGCACGTCAAAGTGCAAGTAGATAAATAGGTATTGCTCCGGCAGGAAGGTAAACAGCGTTTCCGTGCGCTGCTCTGGTCTCCAGAAGCAGCTTAGTCATGCTGGCCGCATGACCCGGAAACTGTACGCCGGCTCCCTCGGCCAGTAAAGCGAGATGAACGTTACAACCCCAGGGTCGTCCGCGACTGGACCTAATGGTCAGGGGTCCCTTTACGTTTTTACTATCTACTCTTAGACAGTTATTTTGGTCTTTGAAGTAAAGATGCATATGTACAGATCCACTAACACAGAGGTTCCCAACATTTGGCCTACCGCCTCCTTTTCAGAAAAGAAATTACTCAGTGCCCCCGCTGGAAATCTAGCTTCTTAGGCAAACCAACAGAAAGATGCAGTGACAATTTGTGTTCTTTTATATATCTATATTTCTACCTACATTCTACAACAAAGAAAGATGATCAATATTAATGGATTCTAGACTACTAGCTGATTAGACCAGAGGGACCATATACAGAGTTGACTACTCCTAGCTTATGGTAATCACGGATTTGGGCCCTTAGCCTTGTCATTGTAATTTGCACAGGGACTGATCAGATTCCAACAGGTCATCAGGTTCTTCTGCTATTCACTCCACCAGGGTTTACAAAATCTCTCAGAAAAGGCTCCCTTAAGATTCTCACCCCTTTGGGGAGGAAGGGAAACAACTCACTTTCATGATCCTGTCATTCAAAGCACGACAAGCAGCCCTGTTGGTGAGGTCGGTGTTTCTGATATCTTGTGTCAGCGTGCTTGTAGCTCGGTTGAAGTCTCCACGGGCAACCATCAGCCACTGTTGGCCCAAGCCCATATTCTGCAAGCAAAGACAGTAGGCAAGTCTTTTATGCAATATTTGAAATGGGTGGTAAAAGAACAATTTTCTCCCTTATGCTCCTTTAGGAATCCTCCCCTCCTGTGCTGAACACTACAAGGGCCTTAATCCAGGATGGAGTCCTGAACAGCAGCTCTCCTGTTAGGGCCCAAACAATGCAACCTACTGTTGGTGGCCCCCACTGATCCACTACAGATGAACATCTATCCCTATAGACATTTGTCTCCATTAACCCTACCCAGTGCCAGAAGCATTTACATTGCAAGAAACCACTGTGAACACCACAAGCACTGCCGCAAGACCAGGCACGCCACTGCAAACGTGAAACAAAACCCCACTTTCCCAGCACCTCTTGGTTATTTTGCACTACCTGCATCTCTTTCCGGTATGGAATTATCTTCCCTATAAAGTCACGCAGCTTGTTATTGTAGCTCTCGTAGTCCAGGTACAGTTCGTGGTCATGCGTCATCCTCAGAGCTATACGGCCAGCGATTTCAGCTGCTTTGCGGATTGTACTTTCCGCTTCATAGGGGGCGCTGAAACGCCCCATCAGGCTGCCCAGATTGTCTAATTGGGTGTCAAGGAAGGGATACTCTTTCCCATTCTGCAAGAAGTAAACAGAGTAAGATTCTTTGCCTGGTGCTCCACACTTCCCAAATTGTTTCTCTCATCTATTTGAAATACTTCACATTGTCCTAGCAAGTCTTCCACATTCAGAAGACAGAAAATTGCAGGTTCTTGTAAATTACAGTGGTACCTCGGGTTAAGAACTTAATTCGTTCTGGAGGTCCGTTCTTAACCTGAAACTGTTCTTAACCTGAAGCACCACTTTAGCTAATGGGGCCTCCTGCTGCCGCAGCACTGCCAGAGCACGATTTCTGTTCTCATCATGAAGCAAAGTTCTTAACCCAAGGTACTATTTCTGGGTTAGCGGAGTCTGTAACCTGAAGCGTATGTAACCCGAAGTACCACTGCAAAAGTAAAAGAAAAGCTGCAGGGGCAGGGTATTTTTATTAGGTCCAACGGCGTGTCACAAAGTACCAAACAATTACTTTTCTTCCTAATTCCTCGGGGTGGCTCTCAACAAATGAGGTCTAGGATGCAAGCCAGTGAAGGGTCAAATTCAGGAGGTGGTTGCAACCTGTCTCCATGATTTGGCTTACATTTTAAAATCTGAATGGGCCTTCTGCATAACTGACTGCTCCAGTCCAATTCTCCCAAGAGTAGGTATTGTGCCCTGCTGTGGCCAATAGATAATTTTCAAGAGGTAGCACATAGATGAGCTTGGGCCAGGAAAGCAGAACAGCATTAACCAACTTACATTACAGAACTGGAATGAAATAGATGGTATCCCCGAGTAGGACAGAAAAGGAAAGGCTGCGTCATCAATACGAAACGGGACCCTGCAAAAGGAGAAGTTTTCAGCTGCTGTGCTCAGCATTGAAGAGTCATATACTTCAACAGAGGTTAGAAAAGCCAAACAGAATCCCAAGGTCACTGCAAGGTACACATGACACACAGTTCAGCTTTTGCTGAGAGCACATTTCTAGCTTTTGGTAAGAGCCTATTTCTCGCTTTTTGGGTTGCAAAAGTTTGTACAGTTGTACCTTGGTTTTTGAACAGAATGCATCCTGGAAGTCCGTTTGACTTCCAAAACATTCGGAAACCCAAGGCACGGCTTCCGCTTGCGCAGGCGCGCCGGAAACAATTGTGGAAGCCCAGTCGGACAATTGGCTTCCCCAAAAAAAGTTCAAAAACCGGAACATTCACTTCCAGGTTTGAATTGTTCGGGAGCCGAAATGTACATGTACCAAAGCATTCGACAACCAAGTTATTGTCTTATGCCTGCCCTGTTACCCAAGAAAAAGCACTGGCAAGGTAAGACCAATGTTCTGATGATTTAAACTGACATCTTTTTTTATGCCAGATCTCAAGGCAGCCTTGGAGATGGGCAGAAGAAGCAAAACTGATGCCCATCTGCTGCGGATGGAACAGAGCAGGTACTACAGGTCGTTATACTAAGGTTACCAGATATTTTTCAATGAATCCGGGGACACTTTTCAACTTCAATGGATTTTGTATGGGGACTGATTTGTAAATCTGGGGAATGTTCCTGGGAAACGGGGATGTCTGGTAACCTTACGTTATACTACCAGGACCAAAAGGATTTCCCACCGCAGCCACCCGTCTGTAACGATACTTACTCTTTTCTGGCCAAAGTGGAACGAAGATCAGTTGACGACACAGTAATCTAAAAGTGAATAAAAGATGCACATTTCAATAAAACCTTCTCCTGATAAAGTACAGTCTTCCACCCCTTCGTCTAAAGACTCTAGTGTTCTGCAAAATTCTGAAGGATGCTTTGTTATCGACAGGTATTCCCAGCCACTTTTGCCATCAAAGAGCTTGAGGTAGCAAGACTCATACATATGGCTGTGGAGTGTTTCTCAAGCTTTTGATGAAGACCCTCTGTGCGGGGGAACAGAACATGGCCCCAGTACCAAGTTTATGGTTCAGCTTCTCCAGGTCACTGCCTGGAACTTTCAAGAGACGATACTCACTCCTGTGACTGCGTCTTCCAACAACCTTTTCAACATGGGGCTGGCAGAGAACCTGAAGTCCTTCGAGCCTGTGGGGTACAATTTAAAAGTATTAGTTCAAGGCCTACTGAGATGGACTGATGATCTGCAGTGCAGCTATGGACTGTGGCTATACATATACACTTCCATTTTAATTTCAACGAAGTACATCATCATTATCAGCCTTTGGGATGGAGAGGTGGTGTTTACCTGCAAGCACTAGTTACATACCTCAGGTGCAAGGAAGCTGAGTTTTTTCCTTTTTGCAAAAAAATAAGAAACAAGGACACTAAATGCTTCTCAACTAATACCTTAAGGGAGTAAGGAGGGTGCAACTCTGATGTGACTGTAAGGGACAAGATTCATGTCCCACAGGATTTTTGCATGATGCTCCCATAATAATGAGGTTGTAGCAGGAGCATTTGTAGGTTTTCATCTTACAACTTCCAATGTCTTTTCCACCTGCATTTTCTCTACATGGGATGCTGGATTAGATGGGACACTGGCCTGATCCAGCAGACTCTTCTTAGGCTCTTATGGAAGTTAATTCTATGGAACAGTTAAAGGCCACAGCCCCTACCCCAAGTGGCTGAATTTCAGTAAATCAAAGTGGCAAAGATCTCCAAGGGAAGTTTAGCCTCAAAGTGTGTTTTTAGTCCAATGAGCAGAAGAAACCAAGAGTTTAGTGCCCTCAGTCTTTTGCGCCAGTCTAGTCTAGAAAATGACCAGGATTGTTTATTTTTTATGTGTAACGCAAACACACTCACCCTTCTTAAGATTGTTTTGGACAAATCTGTTGTACACATTTATCCAGTTTATATTATCCAACTTAATCATCAAATCACATTTACAGTATTAAATTTACAGGGAACGCCCTCTATCACATGCAATCTTTAATGACAATTACCCGAAACTGCTGCATCCAAGTTGATATACGCAACCGCCTTCATGTGGAGAGATGAGGAATAGCCCTGAAGAGAGTAAAGGAACAGCAGCAATTAGCTATTTGCGTGATTTGGCTGTTCTGAACTGACCAATACATTGGAGCCGAACTTACCTCCAGCCATTCTGTGGCACCGACAGCTCCAAAGGCTCCAGCACTCCAACTGGCAAACACAATACTCCGGCGAGGCTTGTACCCATCTGCAAAGAGGAGAGGGGACAACTACTGTATCCAGCTCTATATTCATGCCGAAGAATCCCTTTTGTAGACGCTCAGTGCCAATCTCCTTACCAAGTTTCACGATGTCAGAGAGTGCTTTGGCAAGCTGCCGAAGCAGGCTGGTTCCTACACCAGCCTTTACGACCCCAGGCCCCCAGGAATCACGCTGGGCTCCAATGACTACATACCGATCTGCAAGACAGGGATCAACCGTTAGAGCCTCTATCAGAATCGCAGGATGGAGAACTAAGGGTATGCTTAACACACACTGTGTTATGATGCACACCAGTTCCTTGCAACTAAGTCAGCTGAAGACTTGGGGACTAGCCTATGCCATTATCCTAGTATATTATGCAGCCACAACCTTCTTCTGCTCAACAGCACCAAACTGCAATGTGTGGATGCGTTTCAGTATCTCTTAGCCATCTATTTCACTACCAAACAGGCATCATGCATTCAATGGAGCATCTTGCTAGGCTGCTTCATGTTAGCCATCTTGCAGTATTTCCATTACAGGTATCATCATCCTGTGAGTCTGGACTGTGCTCTGTTATTGAACACAGGCTGGGCAAGTAGTCTGGCATGCTGCCCACACAGCATCTCTGTAGATCACTTGCAGAGTAGGGAGTAGGCCAAATGCCCATCAAGATCCCTCCCAATGCCATGAGGGAGCTCTGAATCACGAAATGGTAAGAAATGAACTAAGGGGTCTTTGCTGCGAGATCACATTCATCCGGTGCTATACCAGCTGCTCTGGCTCCCGGTGGAGTACAGGATCAGGTTTAAGGTGCTAGTTTTAACCTTCAAAGCCCTATACGGCCTAGGACCCTCGTACCTACGGGACCGCCTCTCCTGGTATGCCCCACAGAGGAACTTACGGTCTTCAAATAAAAACATCTTGAAGGTCCCAGGCCACAGAGAGGTTAGGCTGGCCTCAACTAGAGCCTGGGCTTTTTCGGCTGCAGCTCCAACCTGGTGGAACGCTCTGTCACAAGAGACAAGGGCCCTGCAGGACTTGACATCTTTCCGCAGGGCCTGCAAGACAGAGCTGTTCCACCAGGCCTTTGGTCAGGGCGCAGCCTGACTCCCTCCTTTGGCAATCTTTACAAAACTTTAGTTTATGGTTGCCATCAATTTTGACTTTAATTAATTTTTATAATGTTTTTATAATGTTGCACTATTTTAGTGTTGTTAGCCGCCCTGAGCCCGGCTTCGGCTGGGGAGGGCGGGATATAAATAAAATTTATTATTATTAATCCTTCCCTTTTACATCTGCAACAGATTGGCAAAGCTTTTACCTTGATCCTCAAAGCCTTTGATCACACCAAAGATGTTTAGGATTTTCTTTTCCACAAGCTCATTGTTCACCTGCAGCGTCACACTTCTTCCATGAGAATCTGACCGAAGCTTGTAAACAGGGAGATCTCCTTTCCATGGATTTGGACAGTCTGGCTCATTCATAGCGCTGAAAAGAGGGAAAACTAGTTATTTGAAGCACACAGCGCCTCCTACCAAGGTCCTCCTGAAATGACAGTCCTAATAGCCAAATTCTGGACTCTTGGTGATTTAAAGCACAAAAGGAATTCAGCAAGCAGCTTTACTGGGCCTAACACACTGTTTATTTCTACTGGTAGAGGCAACCAGAGATAGCTCCTAGAAAGCACAAAACTTCCTCACATCACAGTCAGCAGCTTTGGACTATAGGGAGGCACCTACTTCCAATCAGCTACAGAGCATTACAGCTTCTGCCTAGCAGAGTGCAAGGAGTAACTTGTCAGGAAGGAGGCTGTCCCTCTCCCCCAAATGCTGCTATGTTGTAGGAATTCCTAGCTGGGAATATGGGGGCATTGCTATCATTCAGGTGCCAGGCAAACACATTTTTGCCAGGCATTATAGCAGCTTTAATCCAGTAAACTTCCATCTGTTTTTGAAGGTGAGGGGTTTTTTTGGGGGGGCGGCTGCTCTGATTTGGGTTTTTTTTAAAAAAAACTGCATATCATCCTTAAATCTGGTAACAGTAGCTCTTGAGAAAGGGTACTGACTATCATTAGCTTGAAGGGAGAGTTTGTTTACCTGAATATTTTTATTGCAGCAGAGCTTGAAATAGTTTGTACTGGAATGCGTGGGAGGCCTGAGGATTCAACTGGGGGAAACTGAGTATGGTTGAAAGACGGAAATCCAGGAGTAAAAGGGTCTCCTGTCCCAAGATGAGCCTGCCAAGGCAAAATCCAAGAATTATATGAAAAATGGAGACCAAAAAGCAGTTCAAACAGGTCTATTTCAGGGCATTCACAAGTTAAAAGGGTGGGATTACGCCTCTGTTTGCTCAAGAGGAAGCTATTTGTCTTTGTCTTTCATTTGCTGTGCTAGGCAGGCTCCAGAATCCATCTAGGAAGCCTGCAGAAGAGGCACCCACATTCACCCAAGGAGGTATAGGAAACCACTCACGTGTCCAAATTGGGAATAGCTCTCTCCAAGTTCTGCATAGTCAGCTGGATCTGGATATATCAAGACTCCTACAGCACCCATCTTCTTGGCATTTGCCACCTAGGAGGAGGAGGCATTTAGCATATTTATTAGCAGGTTTGTGCCAAAGAAAACAGTAAAATATTAAATGGAACTGGTCAATTAGTAGAGCCATTCCACTGTGACCATTGCCCAGTATCTGTAAAAGCTCTACAGCCCACCATGTAGTCATTTTCCCATGCTTCTGTCCATTCACAGCCATAGTGGCACATATGCTTTTATTTAGTAGCCAGACTGGTTTTTTTTTGCAGAGCACAAGAATGACCTGGGAAGCACCAGGTAGATCATAGAGTTCAATTTGGCTCAGAGGATGGCGTCTGTTGCATGTCCATTCTGGAGACAGTGCCAGCTTGTGAGTCCTGAGCATTCGTGACACGTGCAAAAGAGATGGGAGTTGAACAGGGAACTGGAAGAGCCACCACAGGCTCCCTACAAATTCCTTTATCATGCAGCATCTTTACTGGTCTTGTCTTAAGAGCAGAAAACTTACTTTTTCAGAAAAAGCAATTTCTCCAGCTCTCACAAGGATCACTGTTCCAGTTAAGTTGACATTTTTCTGCAGCAGTTGATAGAAATCTTCATTGCGCCCATAGTTGGCATAAACAGGTTTTCCCTATAAAAGAGCAATTAAGCGGCAAACTAATCTTGCTGCATCTCCTTTCAAGCAGACCACAAGATTTCACACTAGAGACACCTTCCTGAGCTACGATGAAGAACGGTTCCTGTTTCATCCCCAGAGATCTTAAAGCATCTCAGGCAGCATGACTGAGAAAATGTAGCCAACCAATTGTCTAAGCAGAGCATGAGGTCCAACCCCTGGCCCAACAGTGCTTGGAATATTTTCTAAGGCCTGGAGACCTTACTTGATTGTATCCACTTCTTCACGTGAGTTAGGGCTAGTGTTCTACACGCTACACATGCCCATTGACTTATATAGGCGACATTAAAGATGAAGTTTTGTTTTCAGGTAACACATCGAGTTAAGTCTAGACCAGTGTTTCCCAAACCGTTTTTTTGGCCATGCCCCACCTAAACATCTCTAAAATCCTGATGCCCCCCACCCAACATATAATTCTTATTATTCAAAAAGTGAACGGTTCATGTGGAGGAAGCCTAAAAGGCCATTAACTGTAAATAACTCATTCTCGAATTGCCCTTCTTAAAAATCAAACTGCCCCCCTGTAGGGCATGTGCCCCACATTGGGAGCCATGGGTCTGGACCAGGCATCCCCAACCTGTGGCCCTCCAGATGTTTTGGCCTACAACTCCCATGATCCCTAGGTAACAGGACCAGTGGTCAGGGATGATGGGAATTGTAGTCCAAAACATCTGGAGGGCCAAAGGTTGGGGGTGCCTGGTCTAGACCATTGCAAACCAGCTTACTGGCCAAAGCAAGTTTTACTTAATGTACAAACTAGCATGCCACTACGTTGAAAGCAGAACTTCAGGTACCTAACAAGCCAAGCCAACTTACAGAAACCTTTCCACTTTCACTGTATGCTACATAAGCTTGAGGAGTCTCCAAAGTTTCACTTGGCTGTTCCAGGGAAACTACATTCGGAGATCTAAGAAAGAAGAATAACAGCAGTCAATCAGAGCGTTAACACAGAATTTTAAAATGTTTTTAGTCCCAGTTACACAACTAAGGGCTGCACATATCCTGGACCATCTAACTATCACTCTTTGGGGAGCTTTGAAATGCAAGCCTGTGCTAGTTTTTACTGGTTACAGCTAACCCTGTGACCACTACCCTAGGACCAGGAGGACAACAGCAGAAATCACAGCCTTAAGATCAATTTGAACCTGGACCTTACTAGATAGGAAGCCTGTTCTTTTCTAATATGTGAATATTCACTTCCTGTATTTTGGCTTTCCACATTGGGTTAATTCTCAGAAGATCTGCCAACCAAGTTATACTGCAGAGACCTTGTTGACAGCTTCATATAGAATCAGCTCTAATGTTTGAGACCGACCAGAGGAGCTCTGATATGAAGAACTGAAGAAGCACATACCCTGGGGTCTGCAGCCTGACGTAGTGCTCATCATTCCAGACTTTATCCAAGTTGGAATTCTCAAACTCTTGATGAATGATATTGGCTAGGTTCTCATCTCCTGGACTGCCAGCATCTTTCTGACCGAACCTGAACACATAGGTATTCCAGTTAAGTTATGTTTCCAGAAGCCAAGCATTGCAGCCAGCCATTATTTTGAGTCTACTGAAATGCTCTTTTAGAAAGGATTTTTGAGAAGGTTTCTAAAAAAGCTTACTCAATTTTCTCTCTGAAACCTGCAGAGCGCAGCCTGGACGACAACTTGCTTTTAAGGTCACTCCAGTATAGCACAGGTTCTGGTTCCGGTGTGTCATCTTCAGGCTCGGTTGAGCATTGATAGCCATGGCATGCTTCAACACCATCTTCACTTTTCATTGCCTGTATCCTTCCACGGAAACTCAGATAGCCAATCAGGAATCCTGTTTGTGTAGATTTATTCATTGGACTTAGTTTATATACCACCTTTCTTAAAAACAAACAAACCTCAAGGTGGTTTACAAATCAAAAACCAATACAGTGGTACCTCGGGTTAATTCGTTCCGGAGGTCCGTTTTTAACCTCAAACTGTTCTTAACCTGAGGTACCACTTTAGCTAATGGGGCCTCCTGCTGCCGCCGCACCACAATTTCTGTTCTCATCCTGAAGCAAAGTTATTAACCCGAGGTACTATTTCTGGGTTAGAAGAGTCTGTAACCCAAGGTACCACTGTACAAAATAAAATGCAATATGCTATACACAAATACAGTGGTAACTTGGTTTTCAAACGCCTTGGTACTCAAACAACTTGGAACCCAAACACTGCAGTGTTCCAGTTTGCGAACTTTTCAGAAACCAAACGTGCTCCACTGAGTGTTACACTTTCATTTTGAGTGTTATGCTGACAATTTGAGTGCCACACTTCCGTTTGAGTGTTACACTGAGGTCTGTCTGTTTTTGCTATTTATTTTGCCTTTTTGTGGCTCTTTTTTGTGTGTGATTGTGTGGAACCCAGTTCAGCTACTGATTGACTGTGTGACTGAAGTACATTGTTTGCTTTTATTTTATGGATCACTGGTCTCGTTAAATAGAAAAATTCATGTTAAACTGCTGTTCTAGGGGTTGTTTTTAAAAGTCTGGAATGGATTAATCCATTTTGCATTACTTTCTGTGGGAAACCGCACCTTGCTTTTCGAATGGACTTCTGGAACAGATTAAGTTTGAAAACCAAGGTACAACTGTACAGTATTCCAGACTTTGTAAAATTGAAATAGTTGATGAATAGATGCTGGCTTTACATATGCAAACCTAAGAAATTCAAAATTCAGAGGAACTTCTAGCATGTTCACGGGAGCACCACCAATGGACAAAATTCCCCTCTTACTTTTTTTACAATTCCAGCAGAGATCAGGGTGGGTTTTTTAAAGTCTATGACTATTCCTGTGGTTTGATACCATTGCTGCATCATTTTTTCTTTATTTTCCTGTAATGAAGATACTCCTGTATATGTCCATAAGTAAATCCTCCCTAGAAGATCTAATACCCATGTGGCACCATTTTAACTTTTAATACACCAAGTTTATTTTCTAGGAAACACTGCTGAATTGTGCCTACCGGAGGGAATGCATTATTCAGTGTGCCTTGGAAGATACCAAAAAAACCCACAAATTGCTCTTTACTTCTCACCTATTCATCTTACCTATAAGGAAAAGGAGAGCTGCCCCAGTAAGTACACAGCAGAGGTGTCGATTGTTGTTCCTTGGTTTTATTGGTCGGGTATGAAGATGGTCAATTCCTCCATTTTCAATACCTTCCTCATCTTCAGCAGACAGTTTCATTTCCACATGACTGTTGTCTCCATCTGGCTGTCGAGACAGACTGAAGCGGGTGTACGAGAGCGGCTCTCCTCCAAACTAGATAGAAAAAAAGAATTCATCAGAGATGAATGAAGAGTGCTAATATTAAAGACACCAAAAAGTCAAGCTCATTTGTTGGTACTGATAACACAAATAGAGGCCTTTAATTCCACTCACCTGATTAGAACTTCAGAGTGTAAAACAGCTTTATGGCATTTTAAAATCTAACACATTTATTATGGCCTAAGAATTTGCAGGCTGTGGTTGACTTCATCTGATGAAAAGGAATGTAGTTCACAAAAAATTATGCCATAACAAGTTTGCTGAACTTTCAAGATTGCTTTTGCTGCCGTCTGCTAATATAATAGCCTTGCTGCAAATTATTTGTAATAATTGAATATCTGAGATTGGAATAAAATCTGGTACATATATGAATATGAATAAGTCTGGCTGTTCTTTCCCTACTGTATATCTCGACTGAATCAAGGAAAGGAGGCAGAAATATATAAAACAACATGACATCCAAAGCAAGGTCTCACATACTTGGCTTAAAAATAAAATTGGGGTGGGGGGGTAGGACAGCATGCAGTATTTTCGATTCCCAAGTTAGATGCTGCAGAACATAAACCTATCTGGGCTTATGAGATTAACGAACATGACATAATCAGTCCAAAGCATTTACATAGACATGACCCTGCTCATTCATAACTGTGGTCATAATTAACCCATGCGTCTCTAGGCCTAAGGACCAATCTACATGGGAAGGCTTAGATTTAAGCTCAGCAGTTGAGGAGCTACTTCAGGCACGTACAAGCACAAATACTTGTTTCCATTGGACAACTGGCTACCTACAGTTCTCTGTGACAAAGTGGGGTAGATAGCCAGTGGCCCCCCTGTCCCCATTATCTCCAGCCTGCATGGCCAATCATCAAGAATGGTGGGAACTACAGCTTAGCACCACCTGGGAAGCCAGAACAGCATCCCCATAATTAAGAGTGCCATTCAGGTCCAATTCTGCATGCTGGAACAGCTTTTGCAGACCAAGCTACATGTAAAGACAGGGACTAAGTGGTGCATCAAGGTTTTGGCCAGGGAATTTTTATTATTTGAGTAAACCTGATAATGCAGTTTGATCATCCTTACCATGTTAAATATTGCTTTCCTAGCATGATCCATAGCTGGTCACTCCTTCAGGTACTTAACTGAAACACAGATGTTTGAAGACATTTTAGCAAAGCAAGGTCTTCATTAGGACAGTAAAAGCCACATCTATAAGGCACAAGAGCTCTTCCCATCAAAACTAAAAGCGGCAGTCACCACTAGAGGCCTCTACAACCACACGGACAGATTATCTGCAACACTTTGATATACAGGTGCACTGTACTCCATTCTATCTTTATTGAGCCACATAGTATTAGGAAATGGCATTTATAAACACCAGCTAGTAGGTAGCTTTCCAACATGGCTACCTGGCTCACTTACCACCTGTTACCCACTGTCAGTGATGCACTTCCTGCAGAAAGAGGACACACTGGCAGCTGCCACAAGCAGTGGCCCTAGCTAGCACCCATTACCAGAGATGCCACAGGACACCAGGCAACTATTGAAGCCATGCAACAGTGCCATCTGAACTTAAAAGCTGCACCTTTTGTAAACAAGATGCAACTCGGGAATTAATTACTACTCTAATTCAAGTACTAGTAAGGACATTAAAAGGACCCCTGACAGTTAAGTCCAGTCGCGGACGACTCTGGGGTTGTGGTGCTCATCTTGCTTTACAGGCCGAGGAAGCCGGCGTTTGTCCAGTTTTCCGGGTCATGTGGCCAGCATGACTAAGCCACTTCTGGCAGAACCAGAGCAGCGCACAGAAACACCATTTACCTTCCCGCCAGATTGGTGCCTATTTCTCTACTTGCACTTTTTGGCGTGCTTTCGAATTGCTAGGTTGGCAGAAGCTGGGACCGAGCAATGGGAGCTCACCCCATTGTGGGGATTCAAACCGCTGACCTTCTGATCGGCAAGTCCAAGAGGCTGTGGTTTAGACCACAGCGCCACCCGCATCCCTTTTAAATGAATGGACAATTAATTAATTTCAATCACTTTTTAATTTAAAAATGGACATGCAGTATGATGATAAACAACGGAACCAGGGATGGGACTAAGGGGAAGTCAACTCTTTTCTTTATGTTTGAATATGTATAGTTTTTGGAAAATTAATAATATATACATATATATTTATAACAAGTATAATTCACATGGCAGGATGGAAATTTTGTCCTGAGTAGCTCAGTTCTGCAGCCATGCCCGCTACTTTCAAGGACTTTCTTTGTGACAGGCTTCACCTGTCACATACAGAGTAGATGACCTTTAACACATCTACATTTAGAAACTGTTGTTTAGAGTTCCTATGTAAGCTTGGCATGAAGTCTATGCGCAGATTTCACCGAGTTATTTTAGGGGTGGAAAGGGGAGCTTAAGGATGAAAAATCTTCACAGAAGCCCTAACTAGTAATCTTTTGCTGGCGTTCAGCAATACAGCTACTTTATCCCGCATGCCACTGCTATGCTTTTGCATGCCAATTTTCTTGGTCGGCAATAACTGCAGCTGTAGTCATGGTTGAGGTGAGAGGTTTTTCCTTTTTAGTATGTCATGTCTTGAGTTTTTACTATTTTTTGTTGGGAGCTGCCCAGAGTGGCTAGGGCAACACAGTCAGATGGGCGGCATACAAATAAATTATTGTTGATCTGGCTTGTTGATTGCTACATATGAGGTGTGAATTGGTTAGTAAGCAATCTCAAGAACCTATCCAGCTGGACTTTCTCTTTCTTACCACTACCACCAACTATCCTGTAGGAAAGCCTTTTTAAAAACCACTAAATGTATTTGAATGACTCCTGTAATCTGCTTTGAAAGGACTGTATAATGAGTGGAACGGTATAAATAATTGTAATACAGTGGTACCTCGGGGTTAAGAACTAAATTCGTTCTGGCGGTCTGTTCTTAACCTGAGACACCACTTTAGCTAATGGGGCCTCCCACTGCTGCCGTGTGATTTCTGTTCTCATCCTGAAGCAAAGTTCTTAACCCGAGGTACTATTTCTGGGTTAGCGACATGGGATGTTTCAATGCTGTATTTTGATGCCTATTGTGAAATACTTCCTGGATGGTCCACTGCAGAAAGGCAGCATGCACATAAAACTAAACTGAAGCTCTATTACCTGTAAAAAGACTCAAACCTACACCCAGATTTATCCTTATCAGGCCAAGCTCTTCATTCAGTTGGATCAAGTGGCTCAGATTAGTTTATTACCTCCAATCCTCCCAACAAGATTTGATCTTCAATCAGTCCCTGAACACAGACTTTCCAAGCTTCCTCAGATCTTGACATTTTATATTTAGGTAGATGCTAAAGTTCTAAATGCCAGCACCCGTTCTGAATAGTGTTTCCAAGCAGCTTCTTTTCTTGGCAAAATATATAAGGTGTAAGATTTCGGCAGCAGCTATTTTACTTCTTTGAACTAATAGAAATATGAGTTCACGTGCACCTTCAGAACTGATGCAAGGTGCATGTCTTTATGCTGTATCCAACACATCAAGCAAGAAGCAGCCCCCAGAAGTCCCAATACATGGCAGAATGGCCAGTCTCTCGGTTGTGAAAATGTGCCAAGCATACATATATACTGTGTTTGGAGTTACATGAAGCTCAGGAGTCAAGCTTAGCCACAGTCTATCTCTGGCTATTACACATCCGCAAATGATCCCATAGCCTGGCCAGAGAAGATAACCACTTCGAGGAAAACTGGGTAAGCTGCTATGCACTTAGATAGCAAGCAAACGAACTCCACCTTTCTGTAGAAAGCAATGAGTCTTCCACAGAAGGAGGCAACTGATATGTCCCTTTCAAACTTCGGCTTCAGGAATACTAGGGTACACAGAATCACCTTTTACACCGGTGGCCCCGTTAGGTAGGTGTTAAATGCTTGCAGCTACTGAAGTGGATCAACAAGCACACAGCTCCATTAAACACCAAACCAGAAACAGCTTACAGAAGTGGCAAACCTCAGGCTAAACTTTTAAGTTATTACACATCCACATTCCAAGCATCTACCTAAAGTAGTGATGAAGAACCTGTAGTCCTCTGGATATTGTTGGACAGCGACTCCCATTATCCCTGACAACTGCCCAGGCTGGCTGGGGCTGTTGAGTCCAACATGTGGAGGACCACATAATTAATATTTTAATTGCACTTGTGCTCTACTGTCTTAATATTCTGTCACAGGAAGTTGAGCTAGAAAGAATCTGGAACTACTCTCAACGTAAAGTAATAAAGTTCTACAGTATTTCATTCACAAACTGGTTCAGCACACTGCCTTATTTAGCTTGTTTGAGTAGGTTCTAGGATTGCCAGAAACACTGCAGTTGCAATATGCTGGAATTACCAGTTTGTTCTAACAGTTTATGAAGGAGTCAAACAAGCCAGTTTGGCCTGATTTAATCTCACCATACCTTGCACTACTATAGCAGTCAAGGAGTCTTCAGCACAATGAATAAAGCAAGAGTTCTAGAACTCTTAGAACATATTTTCATTCATGGCAAGGCAGAAAAGTAATAGATATACTTTACCTATAACTTCACAAACTAATGTTTACAGTAGCACTAGGTGTGTCACCAGCTCACTGCCAAGGCTTTCCATTGGTGGCTAAGTGTTCATTTCAGTATCTGCAGGGCACCATGAATGGCAGAGCCCAAGGTGTGCCAGAAAGCTAAACCACTGACTAGGTGGCACAAACTGCTTGTTGAAACTGTCCTAAACAAGTCAACTCACCATGAACCTTCATGTACATGGGAAGCATTGATCTGTTCAGCGTAACTGTACTGTCAACCAGACTATACACCCCATTTTTATTTATAAAATACGTATTTATTATTTCAATTTCTAGCCTGCTTCTTTCTACAGTGCATAAAATATCTCAAGCACAAAAAAATGCAAATCAATATATTGTAACTATAACTATCTAAATGCTAATTCATTTCAAAACGTGATATAAAATCCAAATAATTCATTTTGATAACAGGATCATAACATTTCATTATAAAATACTTAAAGCATATCAACTGATATCCGTTAGCTAAAGCAAATAATAAACCAGAGACAGATATGCAAAACACTTCCAATGCAGTTATTTTACAATAATATAATCAGAAGGCAGCACATGGCAGTACTATGCCAAATGCTATAAAAATTAGTGAAGTGCACAATTTTTTTTCATATAGACTAAAATGTGCAGACAGTTCCTAGCTGCTTGATCATTTACTATAAAGTGCTCAAAATCACCTCTCAGTAATCCTCTCAGGAAGACACTCTGTCGGCAATAGATGGCTTCAATCACCTTCAGTTTAGCCTCTCACCCCAGACTCCCATTAAAGCCATGAGGTAAGAGTTTTGTGGTTAAGAGTGCATGTATGAAACCAACCCACCTCTCACAGTGAGGCCCCGCCCAACACCCCTCCCTTCATGGGCTGTCCCCCCCCCCCATTTATAGCTAGTAAAACAAATAAGAGCTTCCTCTGCCACACTAAGGATCAACCCCTTATAGGCTGCCCCGTCAGTGCCTCCTTTTACCCCTGATCCTACCAGCACTAAAACAATTTGCCACCCCTGCTCAACGGCTGCTGCTGCTGCTGCTAAGCACTCTGCTGATCAAAGGTTAGTGTCACCTCCCTTCACCTTCACGCAGTAAAAAAAACAAACACCTGGAAAACATGAAAACCTCAATCACACTGCCATTACTATCTAAGTAATTGTTTAACAGAAGAATCCTAATCTAGCCTTCTTAAAAGAAGTCCTGTTGAATTAAATAATGTTCTAGCATGCAGTAGCAGCCACTTGCCACAAAGTCATCAGAACAGTCAAACATCTCTGCCCTACATGTGTGGTGGGATTCTGTGGGAACTCACGGGTGAATTCATTTAAAGGCACTCAACTATTGCAACTACTTCCCTTCTATCTCCTCTATTCTTAACCGGTCTGACTGCACAATTAACCTGTGATGCAAGGGTCCGCCACATTTGCACAGCAACACAAACCATGTCCTAAGGATGTACTTTAGGGTGGTGACACAAGCCTCTACAGAAGCTCTTCTAGCAAGATTTGTTTCTGAAGCTCCTTTTAACTTGGGCTGCATACACGCTATACATTTAAAGTGTTCTCAAAATAAAGCTTGCTGGTAGAGCTTTTGCTCTGCATGCAGAAGGTTCCAGGTTCAATCAGATTTGGGGGAATCTCCTGTCCGAAATCCTGGAGAGCCATGGCTGGTCAATGTAAACTAAATAAACCAAGGGGTTTCCCTCTGTATTTGGCACTATGCCTAACAAGGCAGCCTTCAACAACTCTGCACTGGGCAGGAAGAGGAAAATTAATGGAAAAGCAGCAAGTCATACTGCACCAGCAGACAAGCACATGAGTGGGCAGAACAAAGAATTGAAACGAAGATGAGTAAAAGGCCCTGGGCCCAGAAATATCAAGAAAAATGAGCCTCCTGTAATAACCCATCGTTACTTCTTTATATAAGCAAGCTGGGGCAGAAACCGCGAGGGAGAAGGAGTAACAGCCAATGGGCACGCTTGTTGCCTCACCCCTTCCTTTCCCAGCATGCTGGGCCCCCAGTTATCCCTTCAAGGTCAGGAAATATGGAGCCATGCGCTCCAAGCACATGTAGAGCTCCCCTCCCCAGTCAAAACCCATGGAGGTTCACCTAAGGGCCCCTATCCCTAACAACAGGATCCTGCAACTACACAAAAAGCAGCGCATACATGCCCCACGTTCTCCCCGGATACTTCCGACTGGTAAACGGTAAAACATCCCCCCCCCCCCACAAGATTTCTGTAGCGCCTTTCCTATTCCCCAGTAATAGGTCCTCCTCCTGTCGAGAAGCACGATTTCAGCTCTGCTCTACAAAGCACAAAGCCCACAAATTGCATTCCCCCCCCCCCGCCTCAAACAACCCATTAGCCTGGAGATCTTCCCCGCCCGCCCGCCCTTACTTCACCCCACCCCACATTATGCGGAGAAGGGACGCCTCAAGCCCTGGTCGGCCTAAAGAAAAGGTCAAAGCCGAGCAATGTCACGTAGGCAAGCTTACAAGGAGATCGACCGCGGCGCAAGAAATGCGCAGAGACTTTTAACAAAGGGAAAAAAACGGGGAAAGGGACTTGCGAGGGCGAAGGGCCCCTTTTGGGCATGCAGCGAGAGACAGAGCCCTTTTAGGGCCGCAATGCAAACGGGATAGCGCCCACCCCCAAGTTCCCAGAGCCAGCCTCTCCCATTGCATAATGCAAAACCTCGCGCACAACCTTTTTTTTTTTTTTTCCCCGCCCGCCAGCGAGCTCTGTAGGCAAATGAATGGGAGGAGAGGGAACGAGCGTGCCTGGAGCGCAAGGCTGCGCGAAGCCGCCGCCACCTCCGCGCCTTGCAAAGGGTGCAGACACCATGCGGTATTTGCATGGAGCTGGACCACAGCCAGACGGAGCACGCGCCCTCTGGGGCTGCCGCCCGCGAGACCCCCGCCCGCCCGCCCGCCCCTCCTCCCGAGAAAAGCCCTTCTCCCGGCGGCCTCCCCCGCGGCCACGCACCCGCTTCCCCCGGCGCATCACCTTTCCCAGGCAGGCCCTCTCGCGCGGCGCTTGCCGCAAGCACAACCAGCTCGGTCTACGAGGAAAGGGCGTCCGGCAACGTCGCGCGCAAGCGCGTAAAAGGGCAGCCCGGAGCCCCGCCCACCGGCGCCGTGAGCGCGCGACCCGCTTTTCAAGGAGCGGCTGGGCGGAGCTCGCCCCGAGGCCGCGTCGAACACACCGCTGCACGTGGGAATGCTGAGACGCGGGTCCCACGCGCACGGGAAGCGGGGGAACCTCTCCCCCCCCAACACACAGAAAATAATAAAACTGAACGGCCGAAAAGCACCGTTTCGGGTTTCGCCCTCTCCTTTGGGCAAAGAGCGAGGCTGTCGGCCGCCTTCACCTCAGGCAGCTGAAACGGGCTGGCAGCCGAAGGCAGCAGCGAACCCGCCTTTTAAGCAAATAGTACGATGAAGATGGTTTTCTGAGGCTGGGGCTTCCGCCTCAGGCGCGCCTTTAGCTAAGACGCGGGTCGCTCGTCATGTCTGTAATTGGCCTGAGGCGGGGAATAACAAGCACTCGGAGCACCTGCTGCTTGGGTCTTGGAGGGGCTTCTCTGACAGCGCACAGAAATCGCGCCCCCCTCCCCCGCCGTGAAATGAATCTCCCTGTCCGCTCTATGGGTCTGACAGATTCTTGTCACGGCGGGTTGGGCTAGATGACCCCTTGTGGTCCCTTCCCACTCGACAATTCTATGACAGCCTTGAAAGCGCCTCGAAGCTCTCGGTTTACCCTCCATGACAAGCGCAGAGCAACAACAGGCCACCCTCCTTCCCCCCCTCAGGAAACCGTCGCTTGTGGCTGCAGCTTCCGAGGCAGGAGGGCGGCGTTAATACCACCCACCCCCCAAAGAAACCACCGTAGCTGAGGAAAATAATGGGTTCCGGGGTGGCTGGGACACGTCGCCGTCCGCTCAGAGCTTTAATTTAATTTTAATTTAAAAAGGCACGAAAGGAAGCGCGAGAACCGGGTGGGGGTTGAGGGAGAATCGGCAACGATTACTACTACAAGTGCAAAGGTCCGTCCGCGGCCTCTCCCCTCACGCGCTCGCGTCCGGGAGAGAATCACAGCCTTCTTTAAAGCGACGGAAACAAAGGAGGGTTTTTTATTTTTATTTTTATTTCAGTGTTATCTCAGTCACCTGACAGGTTTCAGGTTCTGAGGCGGAGCCGATGGCCGGCGGGGAGTTTCTGAGGGAAACGAAGCTAAACGGCCGTGGGGGAGGGGCGGGGCGGGAAAAAGGCGGGAAAAAGAAAAGGCGCTGCCTGAGAAAGGCGGGAAAGAGGAAGGAATGGCCTCGCTCCTCATAGAAGTTAGAGGGACCTAAGTGGCCGTGCCCTTCCTTATTTAACTTACATGCAGAATTCATCATGCGAAGTGCTGGGCTGGATGAATCCCCAGCCGGAATTAAGATTGCCGGAAGAAATATCAACAACCTCAGATATGCAGATGACACAACCTTGATGGCGGAGAGTGAGGAGGAATTAAAGAACCTCTTAATGAGGGTGAAAGAGGAGAGCGCAAAATATGGTCTGAAGCTCAACATCGAAAAAACGAAGATCATGGCCACTGCGCCCATCACCTCCTGGCAAATAGAAGGGGAAGAAATGGAGGCAGGGAGAGATTTTACTTTCTTGGGCTCCATGATCACTGCAGATGGTGAAAGCAGTCACGAAATTAAAAGACGCCTGCTTCTTGGGAGAAAAGCACTGACACACCTAGCCGGCATCGTCAAAAGCAGATACATCACCTTGCCGACAAAGGTCTGTATAGTTAAAGCCATGGTTTTCCCAGTAGTGATGTATGGAAGCGAGAGCTGGACCATAAAGAAGGCTGATCGCCGAAGAATTGATGCTTTTGAATTATGGTGCTGGAGGAGACGCTTGAGAGTCCCCTGGACTGCAAGAAGATCAAACCTCTCCATTCTGAAGGAAATCAGCCCTGAGTGCTCACTGGAAGGACAGATCCTGAAGCTGAGGCTCCAAGACTTTGGCCACCTCATGAGAAGAGAAGACTCTCTGGAAAAGACCCTGATGTTGGGAAAGATGGAGGGCACAAGGAGAAGGGGACGACAGAGGACGAGATGGTGGGACAGTGTTCTCGGAGCTACCAGCATGAGTTTGACCAAACTGCAGGAGGCAGTGGAAGACAGGAGGGCCTGGCGTGCTCTGGTCCAGGGGGTCACGAAGAGTCGGACACGACTAAACGACTAAACAACAACAACAAGTGGCCATGTCTTTCCTTCGCACTTGGCATAGGTTTTATGCAGCGCAGTGAAGGTGCTCCGATTTTTTAAGCCTTTCCCCTGAAACCAGATCACAAGGCGCGCCATTCCTCTTTCGCTTTGCTGCACCTGACAAAGTGGCCAGAATACTTATTACATAAAATTTTATATACTGCTTGATGGTCAGGGGTGGGGAAAACATGTCAGAGCTGCTTACGAAAGATAATAAAATCATCGATAAAATCAGCTATTTGAAACATTCAAAGATAAGGTTAAACGCCCACCAGCTTTCTACATATCTGGGTAGGCTCGCCTAAACATAAATATTATTATTATTAAAATTATTTATATCCCACCCTCCCCCTGCAGAGCGCAGAAAATATGTTGCTGTGACAAAATAAATTTGTTAAGACTTTAAGGTGTCGCAAGACTTGTTTCTCCTTGTTTCTGCAACCACATACATTATATAAGGGCATTTGGAAGCCAGTAGCTTTTATTACTTGCCAGTAACCAAAGGGCAAAGAACACAGATGAAGAAGTAATGGAGAAAGGTGGTTGCCAAGTCCTTCAAAGGCAAAAAACCCCAACAACCCCAAAGCCTTGTGTTAGCCATCAAGTGATCACCCTTATCATTAGCTATAAAGTCGAAAAGCTTCCCTTTTACATCTTTGAGGAGTGACTTCTCTGTCTTGGGGGAGCAAGTGGTTCCTGTTAATTTGAATGTGTAAAATGGCACTCAGGGATATATACTTATTAATATATATAATTAGTCAGGGACATATATATATATATATATATAGTCTCAAAAGACTGCCAGAAAGCATAGGTACTTAATTCTTTCCCAGCCATTTCTCTGTCTCCTGAGGTAGCCCAGGTGAGGTGCATATTCCTCCTTGCAAGCAACTACTTGGAACAAGCACTAGACTGAATAAAGCAGGTCTTTGCATGTCCACAGATTCTGACTCTCCAATCTTTGCCACAAAAAGGTTGCTGTCTTCCAAATCTTGGATATGTTCGCTTGCAGCTGTTATGAGTTAGCTAGCTAGTTATATAACATCATAACTGCATGGGCGTTTGGCACTTTACGAAGTGTAAGAGAACTGGCCGTTGCCCCGAGGAGCTTACAATTTTAAAATTCAACGCAAGGGAGAGAGATGGAATCAGAGGGAAAACAGGGGAATGCATATACAGCACGTTATATTTATTTCACTTTACTTATGCTTGGCAACAGTGGGGTTCAGGGAGAAAGAGGTTCTAATGTCTTCTTCATGAAAGCTAGGTTTTGAGGAGAGACGCGAAGGAAGAAAGTTGGCTCACACAAGTTTTGTCTTAATTCACATTTGGTGTATCCAAAATGTAGTTGTCGTTTAACACTGGGGCTGAAAGCCAAACTAGAAGTGAAGCGCAGTATCTGCATTCACCATGAAGGTTCTTTAAAAATGCAAATACACTAGTGCATTTGGGGTGGGCTGATAATTACCAGGATTGTAGCAGGTGGAGCATGGGTAGGCAAACTAAGGGCCGGGGGCCGGATCCGCCCCAGTCGCCTTCTAAATCTGGCTTGTGGACGATCTGGGAATCAGTGTGTTTTTACATGAGTAGAATGTGTGCTTTTATTTAAAATGCATCTCTGGGTTATTTGTGGGGCATAGCAATTCGTTCATTCCCCCCCCCCCAATATATAATCCGGCCCCCCACAAGGTCTGAGGGACAGTGGACCGGCCCCCTGCTGAAAAAGTTTGCTGACCCCTGAGGTGGAGAATATAAGAAGCTCCCTTATACAGAGAAAGACAATTGGTCCAGCTAGCTCAATATTGTCCACACTGACTGGCAGCAGCACTCCAGCCTCAAATGGGACATTTCCAGCCTTACTTGATGTTTTTGAGCATTGAGCCTGGGAGCTTCTACAGGCAAAGCATAAACCACTGAGCCTTAAATTTAATATCCTGCTGAGGTCCTAAGGAGAAGTCCTTCCCTGATGCTAGTATTTGCAAATTAAACCTTTCCCCAGAAAGCAACTACCCATTTTCACACAAATGATTTTCCTTAGTAGGGGAGGAAAGGGTTACACTCTCCTTTCCCACCTGCAGTGATTACAGCAATTATCAACCTCATCCCCACACAGCTGGTGCTGTTTGCATTAAAAACAACATCACCTACCTTCATGTTAAATGCAAAAAAATATTTTTATGTCACATGTGGCTTGGCCCTGAGCTTAGAAAAAAAAACCCAAACAGGAAGTGGGTGGGGAAAACCCATATAAATTATTAAATTAATTTATATGCTAAATCTGCTTTTAGAAATCTGTAACAATCTTTTTTTTTTAAACGGGCACATTTTGTCCAGCCCCCCCTAAAGATAAGTACATCTGTTTTTCAGTCATACTAAGTCTGGAAAAGGGCAACTGCAAGAGATGACAGTACCAGCTTCTTTAGACCTATCGGGGTTACCAGTGGGACTTTCCTCTGAACTTTCCTGTGACTTTCCCGTGAACAGGTGGATCATTACAATCTTTCCATCTCTTCCAGGAAAATAAGAGTTGATCATTTTCAATTGCAAATGGAGATGCACTTTGAAAATATTGTAGGCCATTGATTTGCATGGAAGTTAGCCAGTGGAAAAACAGGGTAGACAAGCTGAGAAACCTCCCAGGAGGCAAGACTCCCTATCAAGGTTATTAATAATTTTTATTAGCAGCTTCTTACCTCATGTATTAATTGAATGGAGAGGAGTTCCATAGCCATTTAGTTGTTAGGTTGAGAGGTGAGCTATGTACATAACTACGGCTGCTACATACTGTAAAGTGGGTTTCCTCTTGTAGAGGGAAATATTGATCCATGCAGATTGCTAATTAGAAAATAAAACAAATTCTAGAAAACTCTCCCTCTTACCCAAACCAGATACCACAGTCCACAGGAGCTGCAGAACCCTGACCCCATAATTTGCCACCTACCTGGATTGAGAAAACAATTGCCACAAGACTGTTGCTGAGTGATAAACATTGCATACATATATGTCTGAGAAAGCACACTGCTCATGCAGAGTGGAAAAAACATTGCATCTTAACTGTGTTACAGCAGCAACGTCATGATCAACTCGTTCTCTTCTGTGTGGTTGTTCCATCTTTTTCTCAAACCACATAAACTC